TAATGACAAATGTGCATTGGATTTGAGGCCATGGTTAAGTGCTTGTTGGGAATTTGGTGGAGGCCCACCCACATACCATCTCATTTGTAATGTATGTCACTGGAATCAGGACTGCTAAAAAACAGAAAGATTATGATCCCCACCACCCCCTCCTACTAATCTCAAGCACAAAGAAGAAAACTGCAGAAGGCTCATCTCTGTGAGCTTTTACAACAGTAAATTGTAGCTCAACAGTGCCAATTCCTCAAACCATTTGCTATAATCTAAACCAGAATTTCTCTTCTCCCCTTTTATGATCCCATTTCGGGGCTCTGTGAAGAGGCTGAGCAATGTGACCATATGTTATCGTTCTAATGAAAACAATCAGAGCCTGGTGATTGTTAATCACCTAGCCTTATCATCCATTACAGGAAAATCTCACGAACCAAAGGCATGTGTTTTGTTCCTGAATTCCAGAGATAAAAACTCATAGCAAAAGTGAACTGAAACTTCAATTGTATTGCAGTTTCAAAATGAATTTTATCTCATCAAAGGCTTCTTTAATTATTTGTCTGGAGCTTGAAATAAATATTCAGTCCTTGATTGTCTTAGTTTGTTTCTCTTTTTGTTCCTGTCATTCTCATAGTTTAACATGAATTCTGAAACTTTAGATAACTAGTGTAGCTTTAATCAGCTTTAAATAGTGTTCGGAAATCATTAGACCCCCTAAGTGTATTCCATAACCAGATTTGAATTGCTCACTATGACAAAACTATTTCATAGCACTTTTAAACACCTAGTGATATTTAGTTTAAAATTGTTCATAAGTGAGAAACAATGTATAAATTGTTTAAAGAACATGGTTAGTTTAGAAACCAAGTAGATGCACTATAGAATGATAGTAAGTAATTTTACAATGCCAATTTTACAATGCAGAGAATGGAAAGCAGGACAAATGGATCTCATGCAAGGAAATCTCTTGCATGGAGACAAATCATCAGAGCAAATCCATTTTCACCAAATACTTCTGTGACCTCTAGCCCTCTATCCACTGAAATAAAGAGAACATTTGGGCAAAGAAAATTTACATGGACAATAATTTGAGCATCCATATATTATTTTGTTTTGCTTGTTACTTTCATAGAGAGTGTGCTATGTTTCAATGAGTATTTCTCCAAATGAGTTCCACAGAGTACAAGTATGTGATCATCAGTGAGAGGAAAAATTGGGGACAATCCAGTTGAAAATATTTGAAACACTGGAATTCTGCATTCTCTACTCCCTGTTATATTTCCCTCTCACACTCACATGATAGGGACTTTTAGAAGCCTCTCAGTAGAGAAAACTCACATTTTGATTTTAACCCAGCTTCTCACAAAACTTGTTAACTGAGGAAAATTTTGTCCTTGTAAAGTCTATTAGGATTTTCTGAAAATAGTGAGTGTCCTAGCAAGCACGCTGCAAAAGACATCTGCCCTCCCAGTAAGCTACGTGTAGGGGGAGAGATTGGAGACTTCGTCCATGCACTGTAGTTAGGTACCAGTCTTCATCCTGTGGCACTGACTTTATTTTTAAGATGAATAAGGAGATGGGCACGTGGAAGCACTTAATAAATACTCATTTAATGTGATGAAACACAAATTTGAAAAGCTATTTAATGACTCAGACTACTTTTTCCATTCTTCACAATTGTGTTTGAATCGATGCCCAGCTACTATCTGCTAAAAAGGAACTTAGTCCCCCAAATCTCTGAGACACCAGCATTCTCCACTGACTCATCGCTAGACTGAAGTGCTGGAAATCTTATGGAGGAGCCAGAGCCTTATCAGTGCAGCCCTTGACCATGCTTAGTCTTGGGCATCTTCCCACAGTCGATCAATGCGTGTGCCCTTCCTGACCCCTCTCGTTTCATAGTGGGGAAACAGCATATGCTGACCTCAGGTCTTGCTATTTATAATTCCATGAGGTTGAGCAAGTTACATACTCTGAGATTCACTTTCTTCATCTGTATAGAGGGGGTCAAAATAGAACTTATCTCAAAGTGCAGTGATGGAGAGGGAGGGAGAGAGACAGACAGACAGACAGACAGAGCACAACCATCTGGATAGAGCTAAGGACAGCACCTGGAACCCATGCCCAAACAGTTTCAGATGATGATGTCCACAGTGAGGCTGATGACTGTTACTCTGACTAGGCACGTCATGAAGTCAGATGTACCATGTGGGCCCTGAGACCTAGCTAGAATATTAAACAAAAAGGCCATGTGGATTTCTACCCAATATCACACTGCATTGCAAAAATCTCTACCCTTCCAGTTAGTAAGGACTATGGAATACACAGAGGTTCAAGGAAAGATAGAACAAATGAAAAGCAGAATAAGTGAAAATCAGGCCTCCTGAGATTTCTATATCATCCAGGATAAGAAAGACAGGAACTCTGGTACAGAAACCAGAATTTGATCCCCGTTCTGTAGTATGGTCAACAGTGTCCCCCGAGTCTCAACTTTGGGATGATGGACATAAAGAATAATCACGGCATGCACTTGAATGGAGGGATAAAATTTGTAGGCCAGAGACGCAGAGACTGAGTCTTTCCCTTAACTGGTCACCCCTCCCCAATAGATCTATACAGGAAACATAATACTGTGTTGCATAATGGCAGAGACACACTCTGAAAAATGCTTTATTAGGCAAATTTATCATTGTACAAACATTCTAAAGTGGACACCTACATGATACAGGTCAATTCCTCAGTGTGGCCTCTTGATGCAATCCTATGTATGGGAATTATTTAGAATCAAAGAAATGAAAAGGCAAAGTCCTTGGCTGTTCTCAATATGTTAAATGGGGCTAACACAAATGCTGTCCTCAAGGAAATTGCTAAGACTTAAAGTCATTGCCACATGCTTAGAAAATGTGTTTCAGAGAATTGCATGAATTCAAGTGTACAAAGTCTGAGGTCTGAGAATTTCATGAAAATTGGGAAAATTCTTCAAACTACAAAGAACAAATTCTTTTAAGAATGTAGTCTTGTTGCTCTTTCCTTCTTTTGGGCCTTTCCATGGATGTGGGAACATATGTGAAAGTTTAAACGACTGTCTGTGTCAGTCAGTGTTCTACTTCTACAACAAATATCTGGGATAATTAACTTATAAAGAAAAAAGGTTCATTCTGGCTCGCAGCTTTAAAGGTTTCAATTCATGGTCACTGGTCCTGCTATGTGGGGCCTCTGGTGAGGCAGCACATACTAGCAGAAGTGCATGGTGAAGCAAATTTGCTTACCTTGTGTCCGAAGAGTGAGAGGGAGACTGGAGTCTCACTCTTCCCTTCAAGGGCATGTCCCCAAGAATGCTAGAAATTCCCTCTAGGCCAGTGGTGGCAAGCCTTCAACACTGTCGGCATGTGATCCAAGTATATCACTTGTCTCTTTTCTTCTCAAACTAGAAGCTCAGAATTCAGGTTTAATTGCAGTGTTGGCATTTTGCGATAAATAAGTGAGGTTTGTGTTGCAGTTTGGGCTCTTGGTCTCTAAAAGTTTTGCTATCACTGCTCTGGACTCTACCACCTCCCAACAGAGCCAGGCTGGAGCCCAAGCCTTTCACACAGTAGAATTTGGGGGACATTCCAGACCCAAACTATAAACTTGGTCCCAGCCAAGAACAGAGCTATAGTGTACATATGATTTGTTCTGCCTGACCCACCTTTGAGCTACCAGCTTTTTCACCCTTAGTCTCTGAAGTTTATACCAGGCTTACACATACCACTTGCTAAGCAACAAGAATCCCTCACACATATTTGGAGAATCACTGGAGAAGGTATACTCTTTCTACCAGGGGCTTGCTGAGCCAATGGGAAGGAAAGCTCAATTGACCTTGCTCGGTCCACCTTTTCTTCCATGCAACAATGCAAGCCAACTCAGAGATACTAAAGGCAACAGATAAAAACAGAGCAACACAGTCCTGAAAGCATTTCTGAGGTCCTCATCCTGATTATGCCTGAACTTTCACCTATGATTTTACTTACATGAAATTCCTTTCTTTGTATAAGACCTTGTCTGTGAACAGAAAATAAAGACATTATCACATCTCCAACAGACAAAAATAGTCTCATTAAAATGAGAGTAACTCATTAAAAATAATGCACCTGGGAGTGAGAAAGAAGTCAGGAAAAGTGGGGTGCGGCCCTGGCTTTGCAACTGCCTGTGGCACATCTAGCTAATCACTTATATTTGAATGTATCAGGTACTCTTATCTATAAAACCAGAGGGCAGACTGAGGTTAATTCTCAGTTCTTTAATTTCATTATCTTAAAGTTGATGATCTTATAAACAAGCATCATTTTTAAGTTCATCTACATATAATTTATTCTCTAAATTTAGTTGCCTGGTTATAGTGGCCAGGTTAAATTTGTTCATGTAGAGAAGTAGATATAAAAAAAACTTGACCTCATAAGTCTTAGCAGCATTATTTTTTGTGTCTGTAGTTAGTTCTGACTCCTGATGGCCAGTAGAAGAAAAAAAGAGGGTGCTTCTACTGGAACACCACTGGATAGGCGTGTCATCTAAGAGGATATGGAATGTATTTAGTGATGTTGGAGTGGCTCCATTCATCCTATTCCTAAATTTAGAGCCTCCTCATCCTTAGATTCCAATCATACCTTCACTCTTCATGTATATTTTAGTCAAGTTGGGACAAGAATTCCCTGCAGACAAGTACAGAACAGCCGGGAAAACTCTTGACTGTAATAAAAGATATCTTGTCTGTCTGCAGCTTACAAAGGATTAGCATCTACATGTTCCTTTAGCCACTATTTCTAACCCTAGAATCATCTTTATTGGATTAGCAGCAGCTAAATGTCTCAAACCTAATACAATTACTCTGATCGGAATTGTTTGTAGGCAATTTGTAGAATGAAGATGCCCTAATATTGTGTCCCTTGTAATTAGACAGCTAGAGACAGACAGCCTCGAGTATTTTCTAATAACAAAAATTAATTCCTTGATTCCTCTTATTACCCTCACAGGAAGAACTCAACCAGCCTGTAGACCAACAATAAATACGGATGTACCTCCCTGAATAGGTCTTTCTCCACCTATAAATCAGGGCTAACAAAATTTGCCACGTCTCTACTCTAAGCTCTAAATGGGGATGGAATTGAAGGTCATGGACTAAATTGCTGTACGAATGCAATACATTGATTTGTGAGACTTTTAGATTTGTTTGCGGGAGGGGAGAAAAGGGTTAATTCAATTTTGTCCTAAATGTTTTCTTTCTCTTCCAGGTTGTTCATCAGAAGTTCTGTTAGTCGCTAAAAAAATTCGGTGGTGCTAAAAAAAATCCACCAGGAACCCAAAGTAAGGAGTTATTGACCTCCAGTGAAGTTAGGTCTGATGACTGAAGGTGCAATAAAAACCCATGAGGTTGCCATGTTTATTCCCTGCTGATTTTTGGTTTGGTGCTGTCTGGGTGCCTCTACCTATCATCTTCTACAAATTGGCCTCTTTCCCGTGTAACAGCTCCCTCACTCTGCCCCTTTGTACCTGCACATGTTAATGCTCCTGGTCATCGCTGGCCTACTGCTATCATTTGTTGGTGCCTTAGTCAACTTTCCCATTACTGGGACACAATATCTGGCTACAGCTTAAAGGAGCAGAGGTTTAATTTGGCTCATGGTTGGCTGGCTCCAAGGGAGGAACACCATGGCTGAAAACTGTGGCAGAGCAAAGCTGCTTAGCTCAGGGCATCTGAGAAATAGAGCAGGGGAATAGCACTAGAGGAAAGTGGGCAAGGGACAAAATAGAGGCCCCCAAGATCATGCCTCCACTGAGAGATACCCAGAGGTGTGCTCCAGCAATCCCATGGGAAGCTACCAAGATAATCAAGTGACAGGATTGAGCTTAACTACCATAGCTGGTTCACCTTACTCATATAGGCCTCTTATTTAACTCTTTCAGGACATTTGGACCACCACACATAGGCCAACACATATTAATGACATCAATAATTGTGAATCACAATTCTGCCATAAAAGAAGAATAAAGAGCTATCATTAATATTATCCACATTATCTAACTGTCATAAATGGACCTCTTATAGTCTTCTGTATCATAATTAACATTGTTAAAGACAGTTTGTGTTAATCCAGTGTAATTTGATTCTCAAAACCCCTGTGAACACGTACATATACCCGTACATCTCTAATTCAAGCTGATTCTCCGCCCCAGGATTCTCTATGAAGCTTCTCACCCCTGTTTACTATAACTTACAAACATCAAAGAGTAATTATTCTGCTCATTGTAATCTTCTCAAACGTTACATTAGGCATTCTTTCTGAGGATCCCACAGGGATCCTAGGCTTGTTTTTCTCAAAAAGATTGTGAGAATTAATTTCATGTTTTTGCTTGACTGAGTCATAGGATGCTCAGATACCTTGTTAAATATTATTTGTGGGTGTAACTCTAAGGATGTTTCCTGAAGAGATTAGTTTTTGAATGAGTAGCCTGAGTAAAGCAGATTGTCTTCTCCAGGTGAATGGCTTCACCCAAACCACTGAGGGGCTGATTAGTAGGAAAAATAGAGACAAAAGAACCTACTGGCTATCTGCATGATTGTCTGGGCAGAGATGTCTGTGGACTCTTGGTTCTCAGAACTTCAGACTCAGATTAAAATCTCACCCACTGACTCTGCAGGTCTCAGACTGAGGCAGATCATGAGACTTCCAAGCCTTCATAATCACACTAGCTGATAAATCTCTTTACACACATACATGCACATGCACACACACACACACACACACACACACACACACACACAGATATTCCTCAACTTCCAGTGGGAATGCGTCCCAACTAAATCCATCAGAAGCTGAAAATATTGTGGGTGAAAATACATTTAGTACAACTAACCTACCAAGTCCTCACACTGCAGAGTATATGTTGCTTCCCTCATGACTGCATGATTAACTGAGAGCTGTGGCTTGCTGTTGCTGCCCGGCATTATCAGACAGCACGATACTGCCTATAGCTGGCCTGGGCAGACAGCAAAATTCAAAATTCTGAAAGCATATAACTTTTGCGCTATCATTGTAAAGTTGAAAATCGTTCTCAAACTATCATATATATATATTGGTTCTGATTTTCTGGAAAGTTCTAATACAAAGACCATACTTGTATCAAACCTCAAAGGACCTGAGGTAGAGAGCAGTGTGGACTGTGGCACTGCACTATAGGTGTCTGCACCAGGGAGCATTGAAGTACTGGGGCAAGGAGGGATGTGAGAGAGGCTGAAGAAGAGAGATAAATTTATAGGAGATCAGCTGGTTCTAGGATCAGGGTCTAACAAAATTACTTCTATGTGCCTGACATCGAGGAGATTTGAAGCAAAACAGCGGGTGCATATGTCTTGTTACAAAGCATGAAGTTTAGGTAGATTTGCTCTTGAGGACCAAAATATCAGATGACCTCCAGAAACTGTGATCTGTGAAAGAGCAGTGTGAGAAGTGGGGAGGAAAGCTGCCCGTAGAGATACCTCAGAATCAGAATAAGCCCTGAGATTCTTAGCCTTGGATTCCTGTGCTTAAACATTTCCCTATATCAACACTGATGTCTTTCATTTGTTTCCCTTAGTTTTGTTAGCTCAATCTTTGTAGAACCAACTTAGCTATACTGGGGAATCATCCCAGGGGGAGATTTTAAAATACTGATGCCTCAGTCTCATCCATCCTACCCCTAGATTTTAATTTAATTAATGTTGGATGTGGCTTTGGACATCTGAGTTTTTAAAAGTTTCTCTTAGGTAACTCCAGGAAAAGGTGAGGGTCACTGTGTTAGAAAATGTCAGTCAGAGTCCCTGTACTCAGGGAAAGTTTCCCAGTCCTTGTATGTGTCAGGGGGGTATTGAATGGAAGGTTGGTAAGAATAGGAATCATAACCCATAAGCTGGATAGTGGCAGAAGAATCAAAACAATAGAGGAAATATAAAAGTAACACAGTCATGTGCTACAGAATAGTGTTCAGTCAGTAACAGACCATGGACACAGTAGCGATCCTGTAAGATCATAGTGTAGCCTATGTGTGTCGTAGGCTTTACCATCTAGGTTTGGGTAAGTATATTTCATAATGTTCAGACACAACAAAATTACCTAAGGGTGCAGTTCTCAGACCATGTCCTGTTGCTAAACAATACATGGCTGTATCTGGGGAGCATCTGGTGAGGTTCTTTCCCATCTGACCACATTGTTTTTCTTTTGAGCAATGGTTCTCAAACCCCAACACATCACCTGGAGGGCTAGTGCTTGTTATAACACCGATAGCTGGACCCCACCCCCAGGAGCGTCCAGCTCTGTAGTCTGGATGGGACCCCAGAACGTTAATTCCTTATAAATTCCCAGATCATACTGATGCTGCTGGCCCAAGGACCACACTTTAAGGAACATTACCCTGGAGAAATTTCCTGTCTGTTCCCTGCTCTGTCTTCCTTGTTTCTCTGACAAGGAGAAAGCTGTCTCTTTATAGCTCCATGCAGAACCTTCCCTCTCGGTGACCACACACAGGGAAACATCAATAATCCCAGGCCAGAAAGGGCAACACAATAGTATCTATTCCTGACCAGGTGCTCAAGGCTACTCAGCTGCCTGAGGCCACGTGAACATTCACTGGGAACTTGGATTTTACCTCAGTCATGAAGCTTGAAACCTATACAGCAAGGAATGCCTATGTGTCAGCAGGAGCATTTCTTCTTATGATCACAAATGGTTTCCAGTCGTGAAGAAAGCCCAGGAGACATGTGGGAAGAAAAATTTCCAAGTCCATATCTACTGTCTCAGTCCATCCCCAAAATCAAATTGAAAAGAAAACTATGAAAATAGTTTGGCTTCTATCTACTCAGTCTTGGACTTCTCTTTGGAATAAATGGATTTTTCTTATATTTCCTATTTTGAATATTTGCAAAGAAACAGCCCCTTGAGAATTAAGTGGAATATATATAGATGATTCAAACACTTTTATCAGTATCTGACTAGGCAATCTTTTTTCTTTTCTCAGAAACACGGGCATCTCATCATTCATGTTCTATAACTGCTTTTTCTTTTATACTTTAGAATGAATTTTACAGATGGAAATTCAGAGCTTCTGATTTTTCTCTGCCTCAGTAGAAGAAAGTATAGCAGCCAGCACAGGTATAAATCTCACTGGGCACCCCCTCAGTCATCCCTCTTACAAACACTCAGCTTAGCCATGTGGATACCCCAGTACTACGAAAGGCCAAGATCTGTTGGCCTCACATGCCCACACAGAAGCTCTGGGCCACTAGCGGCCTGATTCTAAAGCTGTGACTTGCAAATGACTGGCTACAGCCTGACTCACTACAGCCTCAGAAGCAGACATGCCGGGTGCATAGGACAAAGTGCATGGGACAAGATAAGACCTGCTTTTCCCAGCCACCTCTTGAATTGACAGTAACAGTCATGATGAATCAGCCCAGGATAACCTAAGATCTGCTGTGTAGAACATGAATTCCATGAATGTTAGCCATCACTGGAAGGAAAAGAAAGCTGGGGAAACACTGAGTTACAGAAAATGAGTCACACCAGTTTATTTCAGAACTTGTAGTACATTAATTTGCACGATGAGGTTTCAAGAAAAAGGAATTTGTTTGACCATAGAAAATGATTTAGTCACTTTTAAAAAGTGGAGGAGTTTCCCTTGAGATATTTCCATGCCATTGCTTTGGGAAACAATCGATTAGACAATGTCTGGTCTCTTCTAGCATAAATTCTGCATTTCAAGTCCCAAGGTTCCTACCACGTCGGGCAATGAATCTTAGTGAACCAGCAAGACTCTGAGCTGAAGTCTCCGCCAACCATAATGTCATGTACCTGTGATCTAATAAGCAAGCGCTGCGAAGCCTTCCAATGCTCCTTCTCCTCTCTCTCCAACTCCTCACCAGGGTAAGAAAGTGATTCTGATGAAAACGGAAAGCCAAGAGAGGACTTTAAAACACCAAGCTCCAACTTTTATAGGCATATTTTAAACATTTTCTTTCATTGCTGTACATATAAAATATTTGGGTCAGAATATTCTTGCCAAGAATATTTTGCCTAGAGATCCTTACAAGAAGGAAAGGCATATGGTGGAAATCACTTCTTAAGGAACTCCAGCTATTGAATTTTTGAGTGGGTATTCAAATACAAAGTCCAGAATGTAATTATCTCCCTCTTCTAATTTCCCTTACCTGCTTTTTTTGCTATAGTAACAGAAGATCTAGTTTCACATCTGATGGAATCCACCAGTATAAAATCTTTTTGCATTTAGTGATCCTGTTTGCAAATATTATAAATGCTTCAGTATTTCAAAACTTTATTAAATTATATTATGCTATATTAACTATATAATATTACTATTACGACAACATATTACTATCAT